TCAAAGAATAATTTTTCTATTTCTTTTACTCTATCAAAGGTAAAATACATTCTTTATTTTAAAATATATATAGATGTCATCATTGAAAAGAAAAATTATTATTTAGTTATTTATTTCATATGAAATAAATGGATATATTACTTTTTATTTATTATACGATAAAATTATTTAATTAAAAGATGACACAAGTTAATAAATAGTCTACTATAGTAAATAATATAAAATCAATTGATTTCCATAATAGCTATAATTCCATCTAAGTTTGTTCACTTAAGTTATTGCACGTTTATACTTTTTGTATAAAGCCTATAATAACTATATTTATAATATAGGTGTAAAGTCTTCTACACTTAAATCAAGAAAATATTTAACGTTTATTAATTTTTAATGTAATTTTAAGTGAGTTGTTGTGATATTAATCTTACTTTTCTTATTTTAATAAAAACTTAGGTGTCATTATTTATTATAGGGTTAAATATGTTTTTAGTCCCTAAACTATTAACGGTTTCTGGTTTTCGTCTCTGTTTCAAAATAAGGTACAATTTGTTCCTCATTTTTTCGAAACGTTTGTTTTAGTCCTCGAAAATTAAACACTGTTTAAAAATTTGGTCCTCGGAACAAATGAGGACTAAAACCAAAATTTTAAGGACTAAAACGAACATTTCGAAAAAAATAGGACCAAATTGTACCTTACTTTGAAACAGGACGAAAACCAGAAACGACCAATAATTTAGAAACTAAAAACATATTTAACCCTTTATTATAACTAACCTTTTTTCTCGTGACAACGTCTACTTGACACAATTAAAGGATATAACTAAAATTGAACATTAGATTATTTTGTTGTAATTCTTTGACTGACACCGACAAATTGTATGAGTGATAATCCAATTATCAAAGTCAAATAATCATTAAAATTATTTTAATCCCAAAATTCTTATAAAAACTGTGAGAATACTTAATATCGCTTTTTTTTATTCTCTTATAATTACTAGCACAATAATCCACACTTAGACTGATGTTAAATTAATATTTCTTTATCATTATAACTATAAATTTTATTATTATTTTTAATTTATTTAAATATAATTTTTGTAAATATATAATTTTAGAAACTGATATAAATAAAAATATTTTATATGCACATACATCATTTTGATTTATAGTGATTTGCTTTATTTTGGTATATTTTTCTTTTATTACATAATAATTAATATCAACAATCAAACAGAAATAAGCTTGTCTTTCACGTTTTCCATAACCAATACCAAACGAAAAACAACAACAAAAAGAAAAAAAATGCAGATTAATTAGAACCAGAAGAAAGTGAAAAACCCAAAAATAATAAAAGGAGAAATGACAACCCACAATAAGCCGAAGATCGTTGCAGTGAGAAGAGAGAAGAAAATATGGCAAACTCTCCCAAAGAAGAAGAGGATGAGGCTTTCGTTTGTGCTTTTTTACTTTGCACTAATTATGTGTTTCCTTCAGTGCTCAATGCTGCTATTGAGCTTAAATTGTTTGAAATCATAGCAAAGGCACCACCACCAAATGCAGCAATGTCAGCCTCAGAAATTGCTTCTAAACTACCAACACAACACCTAGATAGGCTCCAGCGCATGCTGCGTTTGCTTTCTAACTATTCTCTGCTCACTTGTTGCACTCACACCAATGAAGATGGTAGCACTGAGACAACTTATGGACTCTCATCTGTTGGAAAATACTTTGCCAATGATGAAACAAAGGGTTCTTTCGGTCCCTTAAATACACTTTGCCAACATCCTACACTGTTAAAACTTTGGTAAGTAGTTTTGTTTGCTGCATACAGTAATCTAAAGGGTAATGTTTGGTGAAACTCTCACCATGTTAAAAAGTGTGCTGATAGTTTTTTTGTTTATACATTGCCTTTAAGGAAGAATTTATTTACCTTGTTGTCGTGATGTGACTTTAGGCAAAATTTTAAGGATGTGATAATTGATTCCGAGTTCGACCTATGCAAGAAGGTTCATGGAATGCCTTTCTACCAATGCACTGAAAGAGATCCACAACTGAATTATATTTTCAACAGATCAATGGCTAATATTTGCGACATAGAAATGAATAAGATTCTTGATGAATATAAAGGATTTGAAGGAGTGTCAACTCTTGTTGATGTGGGAGGTTGTACAGGGCAAACTCTCCACATGATAATCTCCAAGTACTCTACAATTAAGGGTATTAATTTTGACTTGCCCCAAGTAGTCGAAAAAGCAGCATCTTACCCAGGTATAAATGCCATTAGAACAAGTCAATGATGCATGCTAGTTCTAATTTTAATTTTATTTTTACCAAAAGTTGACTTGGAAACTGTCTAAAATTGCATGAATTAAGGGATACAGCAAGTTGGAGGAGATATGTACCATTATGTGCCAAAGGGTGATGCTATGATTCTAAAGGTTAGAAAACACTTTTTATGACACTAAAATTTCATGTTTGGGAATGGTTGATCTGTCCAACGATGATTCAACTCAATTTTTATTTCTTTTGACATGTAGACTGTGTTGCACAATTGGTCAGATGAAGACTGCTTAAGCATTTTGAGGAACTGTCACAATGCACTGCCACAGAATGGAAAGGTGATTGTGATAGAATTTATAGCACCAGAAGAAGCATCAGAGTCGAATGTATCAAAGCTTGTTTCCACCCTCGACACCATCATGTATATCACAAGTGGTGGGAAGGAAAGAAGTGAAAAGGAGTACGAGAAATTGTGCACGCTTTCTGGATTCTCAAGATTTGAAGTTGTCTGCCGTGCCTTTTCTGTCTTAGGAACCATGGAATTTCACAAATGAATTTACTTTCCATCAACGAATAGCTAGCCAGTTCAAAAACTCACTTCTATGAAGCTAATAAAGCTACCAATAAGATGATCCATCATTTCAGCTGTACTTCTTCAAAAAGTGGTTGAGTTTCTGCTTATTAGCAACTTTTCTTCACGAGGCTATTTATAAGTACTACTTATTTCAAATAAATTATTATAGTGATACTTTTATAACCATCCTTTTATATATTGTCTGATCTGTTGCACTAGTTCACAAATTATAATATCATATGGCATATTTTTTTAATCTATAGAAACTAAAGATATGAACTTAAACGTAGGAAACTCAAAAAAAAAAATCAAGTTCACGATAGTAAATATATATAAGTGAAAATACTTTTTATGTTTTCATTATGATGCAATATATAAATGACAAATACAAAAGTTGTACTTATTCTTTTAATAACTTAGGATGATTTTTGTAGCAAACATCTGAGCTCAACCATATAAAGAATTGACATCACTCTCTATCCAAAACCTTAGCCTTTGTTCACTTGAATGGAATTGGGAGAGAGTGATTGAGGAGATTTGAGAGGATTTGAAGGTAAATTTTTTTGTTGTTTATTTGAGTGAATTTGAAGGTAAATGAGAGTGGATTTAGAAGTAAATTTTTTTAATCTCTCACGTCAATCAAATCCTACACTAATTCTCACAAACTTTATTTCGAAATTCACTCTCACTTACCTCCAAATCCACTCAAATAAACAACAAAAAAATTTACTTTCAAATCCCCTCAATCACTCTCTCCCAAATCCATTCAAGTGAACAAGGCCTTAAGGTAATGAGTTAACGAGTTTTTCACTTTTATATTTTTTTCATTTCTATCCAATATGGGACTTAGATTCACACTTGAATTCTCAACAAAACAGACTTTAAATAACATTGAAAAGGCGTTGAAACCGAATAGCTAACGACCCAGAACTCGTTCAATCTACAATGTAACTCGTCTTGTTCAATCTACAATGTAACTCGTCTAGTCTGCGACAACCACAAGCCAAGGAACCCCAAAACAATTTTCATATTCGTCATGTTTTGGTAATTACGAGAGAATAGTCTTTTGTTGGTTAAAAAACATTCTTAATTAGTTGTCTTTTGGTTAATTAAAAATTAACCGAAAAAACGATTGGCATACAACCGATACTATTGACTGGTTACACAAACAATGAAAAATATTAGGTCACACGATCAGTTTGTTAGTATTATAGGGAACACTCACAGCTGTTGTATAGATGGATAAATGTTATATTGTTTATCAGCCCAAATTTGTGAAAACTTGAGTTGATTTGATAAAACAGTTTTCAGTCATCCATAAAACAATCAGCCGTTACCAAGATTAAGAAAAGATAATAGAGAAATCAAAGTTCAATTTTATATATGTATAAAGAATAGTGTCAATGGAAACAAAACTAAGGTCCAAAGTGTATATCTCTGGAATGTACAAAATTAACAAATAGTCATTTTCGTAAAAGAACCGTGTTAATGAATTACGGAGCAGTAGAGAAAGTACTACACATTTAATTTAACAACTTATCCGTGCTTAGTATAATGAAATGTTTAAATAATAATAAAACAATAAGAATGACAAGTGAGATTTCTAAGGTAAGTGTTAATGGCCTAGCAAAAATTTCTACATACAAACAATCCCAATTTTGAAAAGAAAAATGAGGTAGTGGAAGTGGAGAGGGAGTGAGTCATTTGATGCTTTGCTTGTTGTATCCCAGGGCATAAATGAATTTTGTCACAAATGGACAGATACAAGAAATATATAAAACAACCACAAAATTATGTTGTGACACAGCAGCAGCACTGTAGAAGATCATATTTTGAGAAACACCACTTCATTTTCATGGCAAACACCAGTGCTGGAGCACAAGTCACTGAATCTTCATGTAACACATTCTGCAGCAGATGATCAGCAGGTAATCACAACTTCAACAGATACAGACAGGACTGGCTAAGTACATCATGTCATATCATAAAAATGTTGATATAAACTGGCATTATTCTGGTATTCTTTTTCAATGATGTATCCTCTTATCATCCAATCTATGACGGAACAACTTGGCTATGTGTCTCCTTTCACAGTCCTGGACATAGAAGAAGAAGAAACCATTAATGCTACTTTCATCACGACCACAATGTACTGTTACAGCACAAATAAACTATCTAAATGTAGCTGGGCTTATATTGCCTCACCTTGAACATGTTCAGATGAAATGGTTTGTCTGGATTCATCCTTCTCAGCTTCTGATATGTATATGCAAAACTCAGCTGATCACGAGGAGTGAACCGATCAATTTCATTGAACCAAAGACAAGAAAACAAATTTGACATTGGGGTGTGCGCTCTAATAATAAAAGAACCTTCAGGTACATCTGTCAAGATTATGTAAATCACTTCAGTTCATTTAATCAACAACTTCGGAAATTGACAGAAAATAAATGCTTAACAGAACATACTGCTTGGAAGAAGCTTATTTGGATCCGATGCATCAAATCTTTCAAGTCCATCAGCCCGGTAAAATGAAAACTGCTGATCTATAACTGTGTGATTATACTTGTTCAACTTCTTGTTTTGTGCAACTTCTTCCCACACACAATGCCGATCATAATGATTGGATATTGCAAATTCATAACCCTTGCGCCACAAAAAGTACTCCAAGATAAGTAAAGGATCAAGCTGCAGCCGTAATTTGCTATCCAGCCAAATTGAATACCTGAAATGAAAATTGAAAGAAAAGAAGAACCATTAAGTTACCGAACATCTAAGAAAAGAAAATTATACGTAAAACAAACAGTAACTAAAAAAATTAACTAATAACAAAGAAAATTAATAAGAAACCTTTCCAAAGATTTCAGATACATATGTACAGAACACCAAATACAAAATAAATTTGTATTTATATCAATCTACATAGCAATAAGGACTTAACTGTTCCGATAACCAAAATTCTACAATTAGTAAATGCACACAGATTCATTTTATAAGTTGGTTTAGGCTAGAAAGGTTGGGGAATTGAAGAATCGCTAAAATTTAAGCCATTAGTTTTATAACATACTAAGGCAGTCTAGAATTTTCGCAGAAACACTTCCAACTTATAAAACATTGGAACACACAATAGTGTCCACAAATATAATGAAAGTATGTTCAAGCCAATAAATCATCATTAAAATCTGATATAATAATCCACATAAATCTCTTTCAACATTCAATCCCATCAGAGATTCATCATGCAGTGACCTCTGTGCAGTTATAAAGCTCTTTATTGGTAGTAAAAATGGGACACTGACATCTACACCCTATGGTCACACTCTTTAGTTTCTCCTTTATAATACTCTTTCCAACACAAGGATATGGTGTACATAATAAAAGAATCAAATGTTAGAATCAGCTAACTAAAATTTTACCATTTTATCTTAAAGTGATATATCATCAACACATCTTTCTAGGTGTTTAAACGCCCCGAGCAGTCACCATATTTTAAACATCATCCAAATCATTACTGTAAATTTCAAAAGAACAACACCTATTCCTTCTCATATCAGTCTTACCTTGCAAAAGGAAAAAGTCGATGAGGCAATAACTTAGGTATTTTGCCCACTCTTCGCATATCATCATATGGTAGATTCTTCACTACCACCAACTTCCAAAAGCCAATGAAACCCATTCTATCAGGAACATGCCCTTCTGAAGAGAGTGTCCGAACTGTAATTTCGTCAGTAAACATAACAAAGCAGACATTCTTCCTTGACAATCGAGTGACCTGAAACCACAATGATTTGGATCAATACAATAAAAAATACTAGGTGGAAATTACATCCAAAGTTGATGGCAGCCCCTAAATTTCCAATAGTTCCAACAACTCTGTCAAAACCAAAACATTCAATGCATATTAAAAAATGCAATTTTGAGAAAATAAAGTATAAGAAATTATTATATCAACTGGTAATGCTTAAATATTATCCTCGGGTATCCTTAAAATATATTTTCCTCTTTTCCTAAGCAACTCATAAAATTGGAGGAGAACTAAAGTGTCTATTCTTCCCAGTTAGTGAAGCCAAGCATCACATACCCAAGTCTTACAGGGAAACCTATTTTCTCCCACTCATACTGTACGTTAAGTATTGCTAAATAAATGATGAATGCCTTTCAGTCTCTTTGCAGGCAATACTAGCATTCCAATCAACTTCCAAGAAATCTTCTCATTATCCTGTTGAAAAATTCAACATGTCTTTGCTGGCCCGTGATAAGAATCACACTACAAAAGCTAGCCGTTGTAGTTTGAAAGCTCAAGACCTTGTAAAGTTCACTAAATTTCCATCCTTCTAATGTGGGACTTAGGTCACATACCTTGCAAAATGGATCCTAATATTTCATCACAACATGTAGCAGCCAGCCACACTGTACCCATGTAGGATGGTTATGCATTTGCCCCTTGACTATGTGTCTCCACCATGCTGCTTATTTGCAAGTGAGATATAATGAAAAACAGTAAAACTGATCGACCAGAACCTTTGGAGAACCACACTACAAAAATTAGACATTGCAAATCTCAAACCAAACTCCCACACTTCCAATGTGAAACTCCAGTCTCATGCCTTGNACTTGTTCAATCTACAATGTAACTCATCTAGTCTGCGACAACCACAAGCCAAGGAACCCCAAAACAATTTTCATATTCGTCATGTTTTGGTAATTACGAGAGAATAGTCTTTTGTTGGTTAAAAAACATTCTTAATTAGTTGTCTTTTGGTTAATTAAAAATTAACCGAAAAAACGATTGGCATACAACCGATACTATTGACTGGTTACACAAACAATGAAAAATATTAGGTCAAACGATCAGTTTGTTAGTATTATAGGGAACACTCACAGCTGTTGTATAGATGGATAAATGTTATATTGTTTATCAGACCAAATTTATGAAAACTTGAGTTGATTTGATAAAACAGTTTTCAGTCATCCATAAAACAATCAGCCGTTACCAAGATTAAGAAAAGATAATAGAGAAATCAAAGTTCAATTTTATATATGTATAAAGAATAGTGTCAATGGAAACAAAACTAAGGTCCAAAGTGTATATCTCTGGAATGTACAAAATTAACAAATAGTCATTTTCGTAAAAGAACCGTGTTAATGAATTACGGAGCAGTAGAGAAAGTACTACACATTTAATTTAACAACTTATCCGTGCTTAGTATAATGAAATGTTTAAATAATAATAAAACAATAAGAATGACAAGTGAGATTTCTAAGGTAAGTGTTAATGGCCTAGCAAAAATTTCTACATACAAACAATCCCAATTTTGAAAAGAAAAATGAGGTAGTGGAAGTGGAGAGGGAGTGAGTCATTTGATGCTTTGCTTGTTGTATCCCAGGGCATAAATGAATTTTGTCACAAATGGACAGATACAAGAAATATATAAAACAACCACAAAATTATGTTGTGACACAGCAGCAGCACTGTAGAAGATCATATTTTGAGAAACACCACTTCATTTTCATGGCAAACACCAGTGCTGGAGCACAAGTCACTGAATCTTCATGTAACACATTCTGCAGCAGATGATCAGCAGGTAATCACAACTTCAACAGATACAGACAGGACTGGCTAAGTACATCATGTCATATCATAAAAATGTTGATATAAACTGGCATTATTCTGGTATTCTTTTTCAATGATGTATCCTCTTATCATCCAATCTATGACGGAACAACTTGGCTATGTGTCTCCTTTCACAGTCCTGGACATAAAAGAAGAAGAAACCATTAATGCTACTTTCATCACGACCACAATGTACTGTTACAGCACAAATAAACTATCTAAATGTAGCTGGGCTTATATTGCCTCACCTTGAACATGTTCAGATGAAATGGTTTGTCTGGATTCATCCTTCTCAGCTTCTGATATGTATATGCAAAACTCAGCTGATCACGAGGAGTGAACCGATCAATTTCATTGAACCAAAGACAAGAAAACAAATTTGACATTGGGGTGTGCGCTCTAATAATAAAAGAACCTTCAGGTACATCTGTCAAGATTATGTAAATCACTTCAGTTCATTTAATCAACAACTTCGGAAATTGACAGAAAATAAATGCTTAACAGAACATACTGCTTGGAAGAAGCTTATTTGGATCCGATGCATCAAATCTTTCAAGTCCATCAGCCCGGTAAAATGAAAACTGCTGATCTATAACTGTGTGATTATACTTGTTCAACTTCTTGTTTTGTGCAACTTCTTCCCACACACAATGCCGATCATAATGATTGGATATTGCAAATTCATAACCCTTGCGCCACAAAAAGTACTCCAAGATAAGTAAAGGATCAAGCTGCAGCCGTAATTTGCTATCCAGCCAAATTGAATACCTGAAATGAAAATTGAAAGAAAAGAAGAACCATTAAGTTACCGAACATCTAAGAAAAGAAAATTATACGTAAAACAAACAGTAACTAAAAAAATTAACTAATAACAAAGAAAATTAATAAGAAACCTTTCCAAAGATTTCAGATACATATGTACAGAACACCAAATACAAAATAAATTTGTATTTATATCAATCTACATAGCAATAAGGACTTAACTGTTCCGATAACCAAAATTCTACAATTAGTAAATGCACACAGATTCATTTTCTAAGTTGGTTTAGGCTAGAAAGGTTGGGGAATTGAAGAATCGCTAAAATTTAAGCCATTAGTTTTATAACATACTAAGGCAGTCTAGAATTTTCGCAGAAACACTTCCAACTTATAAAACATTGGAACACACAATAGTGTCCACAAATATAATGAAAGTATGTTCAAGCCAATAAATCATCATTAAAATCTGATATAATAATCCACATAAATCTCTTTCAACATTCAATCCCATCAGAGATTCATCATGCAGTGACCTCTGTGCAGTTATAAAGCTCTTTATTGGTAGTAAAAATGGGACACCGACATCTACACCCTATGGTCACACTCTTTAGTTTCTCCTTTATAATACTCTTTCCAACACAAGGATATGGTGTACAAAATAAAAGAATCAAATGTTAGAATCAGCTAACTAAAATTTTACCATTTAATCTTAAAGTGATATATCATCAACACATAAATAGGTGTTTAAACGCCCCGAGTAGTCACCATATTTTAAACATCATCCAAATCATTACTGTAAATTTCAAAAGAACAACACCTATTCCTTCTCATATCAGTCTTACCTTGCAAAAGGAAAAAGTCGATGAGGCAATAACTTAGGTATTTTGCCCACTCTTCGCATATCATCATATGGTAGATTCTTCACTACCACCAACTTCCAAAAGCCAATGAAACCCATTCTATCAGGTACATGCCCTTCTGAAGAGAGTGTCCGAACTGTAATTTCGTCAGTAAACATAACAAAGCAGACATTCTTCCTTGACAATCGAGTGACCTGAAACCACAATGATTTGGATCAATACAATAAAAAATACTAGGTGGAAATTACATCCAAAGTTGATGGCAGCCCCTAAATTTCCAATAGTTCCAACAACTCTGTCAAAACCAAAACATTCAATGCATATTAAAAAATGCAATTTTGAGAAAATAAAGTATAAGAAATTATTATATCAACTGGTAATGCTTAAATATTATCCTCGGGTATCCTTAAAATATATTTTCCTCTTTTCCTAAGCAACTCATAAAATTGGAGGAGAACTAGAGTGTCTATTCTTCCCAGTTAGTGAAGCCAAGCATCACATACCCAAGTCTTACAGGGAAACCTATTTTCTCCCACTCATACTGTACGTTAAGTATTGCTAAATAAATGATGAATGCCTTTCAGTCTCTTTGCAGGCAATACTAGCATTCCGATCAACTTCCAAGAAATCTTCTCATTATCCTGTTGAAAAATTCAACATGTCTTTGCTGGCCCGTGATAAGAATCACACTACAAAAAGCTAGCCGTTGTAGTTTGAAAGCTCAAGACCTTGTAAAGTTCACTAAATTTCCATCCTTCTAATGTGGGACTTAGGTCACATACCTTGCAAAATGGATCCTAATATTTCATCACAACATGTAGCAGCCAGCCACACTGTACCCATGTAGGATGGTTATGCATTTGCCCCTTGACTATGTGTCTCCACCATGCTGCTTATTTGCAAGTGAGATATAATGAAAAACAGTAAAACTGATCGACCAGAACCTTTGGAGAACCACACTACAAAAATTAGACATTGCAAATCTCAAACCAAACTCCCACACTTCCAATGTGAAACTCCAGTCTCATGCCTTGCAAGTTGCAATTTGATCCTAACCACCAATTGTTCATACTGTTAGGTTTCTTGATTAAAGAAACCAATTCACAGAAAACTTTCACTCACGAACTGCACAAACAAAACCAGATAAAACTGAATATGCCTCAGCTTATTAGCTCTTCAACAAAAACAAACAACATGTACACTGTCAAGGGCTGATATTTCCCTTCTCACAGGACACTAATGTTCTGTCAACTATCTCTCAATATCTCCCAAAACATCCCCCACCACAACAAAAGCCCACATATATACAGTCTCCCTATTAGGACGACTATCACTCCCTACCTTCCTAACCAACCAACTATTTTTTTTCTTCCTTCTTACATAGACATTTAATTTCCTAACATTACCCTCCCCTGCACAAGCAACCTTGAGGACAAGGTTGAAATCTGGAAAATGGTGTTTGATAGTAGTCACATCCTCCGATGTAGCTGCATCAGCTCCTCCATCCAACCACTGAATCAGAACATGAGGGACTGGTTCCTCTTGCCCTGGTTGTTACACAGTCCTCCTCTCCAGCACTTTATTGGGAAGAAAAACGGAAGTGCTTCCTTGTAGCCCCTCTGGCAGCTCCTTTTCCACCCATGTGTTCTTACAGCCCTCTTCAATTGGGACACATGAAAAACGGGATGTATCCTGGCTGTCTCAGGAAGTTGCAGACCAAAAGCTACTGGCCCCAGCTGTCTTAGCACCAAAAAAGGCCCATAATACTCCGCTGATAGCTTAGGGTGCAACCTAGTTGGCATTGAAACTTGATGATGAGGACGTATCTTCAAAAACACCCAGTCCCCTACTTTGATGGGTGATGGTTTTCAATGTTTATTTGCAAATTTTGTCATCTGCTCTTGTGCTCTAGTTAAGTGAAACTTGAGCTGATTAAGAGCTTCATCTCTTGTCATCAAGTCTTGTACTACTTCTTAAACTGGAGTTTCCCCTGGTATAAAACTGCTGAGCAATGGTGGAGGCCTACCATACACCACTTCAAAAGGAGTTCTCCAAGCTGCCCACAGAATAAACAAGGACCATGTCTTGGGCTGTTCAGAGCTGAAACACCTCAAATATGTTTCTAAAGTTCTGTTTAGAACTTCAGTTTGATCATCAAACTCCGGATGATAAGTTGTGCTCATGTTA